CACATTACTTTCTTATTTTTTGCGTCTATTTATAGAGAGAAAAGGGAAAATAAAAAAGATCTTTGCAAGTATGTAGACTTTTATCATAATTTCTGTATAATTAGTTGATCAACATCCCCCACACAGCTGTGAATAAAAAAAATCTGCCTCTGTTTTATTTATCAATATCCTGAAAGTTCTTACATGAGTAATGAGATCTGTTCTAAACAAAATATTTAGTATCTCCTTTAATACTAATTTCAGTGAACATGGCATCAAAGTAATATACCTCCCCAATCTGTTTGCTGCCATTTGTAGTTTCCAGATTTTTTAGCACTCACATATTCCTCACATATTCATTCAAGATATGACAGGTAAAGGACAAAAAGTTTTGTACAGACACCTACCGGCAGAGGATACAGTAGACTCAGATATTGTACTGAGCGAGATGATTTTGGTTTAGTTTACTAAACAAAGCATGATTAGCTTCACATTCCTGATAGCAGCAATCATGATTTAGTGCATTCAGCCTAACATTGTCAAAACTCAGGCAAATACACTTTTTTTCTCATTTTTTTGAAGGTTCTGCTTGTTTGTACTGTACTTTCCTTTTTACACAATCTGTAGCGACTGGTTGAGCCTTGCAAGCACATACAGTACTTGTCTTTCGGTTGATCAAGCTAGCACATCAATCATCCTATTCACTAATAACTTTCTACAGTACATTTAATTCTGAAGGTGTGTTTTCTATGGACTTGTTGATATATATAGAACCTGAAGGCAGAAGAAATGGGTGGAAACTAATCAAGGAGAGAAGCAACCTAGAACTAAGGAGAAATGTCCTGACAGTTAGAACAAGTAATCAATGGAACGGCTTCTCTCCAGAAATTGTAAATGTTCCAACACTTTTTAAGAGAAGAGATGAGACAACTATTTGTCTGAAATAAAATAGGGTTTCCTGCTTGAGCAGGTAATCTGTTATTTTGACTATGTCACTGCAGGCAGAATTTTTACCTACCCATTACTTTTTAAAATGTAATCATATTCAAAATTGATTTCTGTATTAACTCCATTATAACTTAAAAATTTGTCAGGAAATTGCATAGCCAGTGTCAAAATGGAATCACACTGACACAAACCAGTTTTATATAAATAAATATATTTACAGTAAATAAGGTAGGCAAACAAGATCATCAGGCAAATCAACACAGCAGGAACATCATGAGGTAAATCGGCACACACAGGAAAAACAGAAAACAAGGAAATTCCCCCTTTATACTTGCAGCAACCAGTCACAGCTTAGGTTGCCTCATGTAGTGGCTCTTCAACTTCTTAGCTGTAACTCTTCGTATTCATTGTCCAACTTTTCACTGCTCCAGCTATTATATTTTAAATATCTGAACAGAATTCTATCTATATATGGGGTTTAAGTAACGCATATATTCTTGCATACATAACCATTAGGCAGCTTATTTTGGGATAAACCATTGTTATGCATAGGAGAGAAAGGGAATATATTATGAAATAATAAACCAAAAACATTAAAGAAACGGATAAAAGGAAATGAGATCTATTTCTTCTTTATTTGTATCCTGCCTTTTATTTTACAAATAACTCAATCAGCACACCTTTCTCCTATTTTTTCTACAATAATGACCTGGTGAGAAAAAGGACATTGTGGTTTAGTGCCTAAGATGCTGAGCTTATCAATCAGAAAGGTCAGCAGTTTGGCAGTTCGAATCCCTAGCACTGCGCAATGGAGTGAGCTCCCGTTACTTGCCCCAGTTTCTGCCAACCTAGCAGTTCAAAAGCATGTAAAAAATGCAAGTAGAAAAATAGGGACCACTTTGGTGGGAAGATAACAGTGTTCCATGCGCCTTAGGCATTTAGTCAGGTCAGCCACATGACCATGGAGACGTTTTCGGACAGCGCCGGCTCTTCGGGTTTGTAATGGAGATGAGCACCACCTCAGAGTCAGGAACAACTAGCACGTATGTGCAAGGGGAACCTTTACCTTTAACCTGGTGAGATGGGTTAGGCTGAGAGAGTGGGACTGGCCCAAAGTTACCAATGGCTAAGGTGAGACGACCTCACAATCTTCTGCTTTCTAGCTTTAACCACTAGACCAAACTGAAATACTATATAGCTAAATGCATTTTATAATAACTTATTCCTTATGCCTTTCCATACTTTTCTGTCCTTGCTTCCAGTCTATTCTTACTGGCTTAACTTTTGTTATTTTGTTTTGAAAGCATTTTTTCTTTTTTACCCCTTGTTCTTAAAACCTTTTGTTCTTAAAGTTTCTTGCTTTTTGGGGGGAGGGGAGGGCTTTCATAAACTCAAACTCCAACTTTCTTGACCTTAAATCTAACCTTCTTCTCAACAATTTCTCTGTTCTTCATATATTTGTTGTGTATTTCAATCTCTATGCTACATGTCCAGTTTTCAGATGTATACTCCATATGTATTTGCATATTTGTGGATCACCAACGATAGGTGAGAATTTTAGATGGAAGGAAAGATAACTTACAAGATGGAATGAACTCCAATTCCCATACTCCTTGGAAGATGCAAAGACCCTTAGACATTATAAACTAATTGATGAGTTTTGTTAGAAATATGCAAAAACTCTTTTTGTTTACTTCTTAATGTGGCATATTCAAATGTTACAGGTAGTCCTCGACTTACAACAAAAACCAACTTACATACTTTTTATACTTATAACCTTTGCAACAGCCCCTGGGCATGTGACATTTGGCAACTGACTTGTATTTATGATGATTGCAGTATCCGGGATCATGTATCACCTTTTGCGACCCAACAAGCAAAGTCAATGAGGAAGCAAGATTCATTTTACAACTCTATCACTAACTTAATAATTGCAGTGATTCTGCAAGCAAGGTAGCAACATAAATTTCGGTCTTAAGTCAAGGACCATCTGTATACAAGAGAAGACTCAAGTTGGACCTAGTCTGCTACAGCCATTGTGCTGCTTTCATAGTTTGGTTTCACATTCTAATTCACTTCTGATTTCAGAATCAAATCTTAAGAATTGGGGTATCTTGTACCACAAAATTAGATAGCATATTATGGGTTGAAATAAATCTAGAAACCTGCTGGTTGACAGTAAACAATTGGAGTGTTTTATACATCTTTTCTGCCGTTAGTGGTAGCCTGGATTTCTGCACCTAGAGCTGCTCAGCCACCGTAGTACATTTTACCATCAGAGGCAATGCTGGTGGTAAAATGTATTAGGATGAGCCAGTTCTAGGTGCAGACCCAGCTTGGCTGGTTTCAAAAAAGATTTGGACCAATTCATGGAAATCTTGGGGCTTGATGGTTGCTAGACTTAATGGGACTGTCCATACTAGCCATCTTCTGGGAGTCTTATCGGCTTCCTTGTTCATTTGGTTGGCCACTTTGAAAACAGGCTACTAGACTACAGGTAGTCCTCAAGTTATGAATGTAACGGAACCTGCCAATTACATTGGTAACCTGAGGATTTGTAGGAGTGAATCATGTGAAATGAACATGAAAACTCCCTGCTCTTGCTCAGGCATTTGCTAATTGAATGCACAGATTGTTAAGTGCGCATAAGAACAGCCACCTGCTTAAGATTGCCCATGGCTTCCCCTGACCCACTGATATACCTCATGCTCCCCACGATTGCTTCCTCTTTCCATCCTGCTGTCCCGGGTCACTGACCTTTCAAAGATTTAGCAAGCTGTCTCTGCCACGCAAGATCATGGCTTCCAGAAGCTTCCAGTTGCAGCGCGCAGAACGTTTGCATGCTGATGGGAAGCTTTAGGGCAGTGAAATCGTGCTGCCTCAAAGCGTTCCATCTGCTTGCAAATGCTATGGCAAGCAAACAGCCTTTGCTGGCAAGAATGGAGCCCAAGGAAATTGCGTCCCTGGACGGTCTGATCATCTTTGCATATAGACTTTGCCGGTAAGAATGGAGTGTGGGAGGGACTAGCGCATTCCTCTTGAGCTCCATTCTTGCAGGTAAAGACTTTTTGCAAAGATGACCAGAACCTGCAGGGATGCAATCTCCCTACGGGCTTCGGCAAGGAAATGCAAACGGAGGGAAGGCAAAGCCTTTTGCCGCAGATCTCAATTTGCAGAGTTAGAGATCAGTAGCACGAGATCTCGCGCTACTGATCTCGCGTGATCTAGTACTACTTTAGAGCTCTGTTCTCTGCGAATGCAAAGGCCTGAAGCAAGGAAGCAGGCAAATAAACCGGCAGCAGAGAGGAGACAGCTCCCTAGATCTTCGTGAGGTGAGTCTCCACAGGTCCAGTGCCTATGGAGACCCGGGCGGTGGAGGGGAATAGGGCAAATGGTGCACTACTTCTGCGGTCGTTCGTAAGGGTGAATGACTTCCATGGTGCTGCAACATTCATAACCTTGGGACTGTGTCGTAAGTAATGGGAGGGGGCTATGTTGCAACTTTGAATAGTCGCTAAGTGAACTGTTATAACTCAAGGATTATCTGATTATATGAGGATTTTATGAGTTGTAGTGGTGCAGTGGTTAGAGTGCGGAACTTCAGGCTACTTCTGCTGCCTGCCAGCTACCTGCAATTTGACAGTTCAAATCTCACCAGGCTCAAGCTTGACTCAGCCTTCCATCCTTCCAAGGTGGATAAAATGAGGACCCAAATTGGGGGCAATGTGCTGACTATAAACCGCTTAGAGAGGAATGTAAAGCGGTATATAAATCTAAGTGCTATTGCTGTCTGTAAATGGCCAGGGATCTGATCCAGCAGGGCACCGAATATGTTCTTAATACATTATATAACATTTTGGAATGTGAGAATGCCCAACTTTTCCTCCCCATGGTTACTTTCAGCATATGCTCATAAGGATCCAAAGAAAGTTTAGATAAGAGGCTGCATGTATAATTCATGTCTTTGTCAATTTTGCTGCATCTGTTTCGGGCACCCCTAGGACCCCAATCATCAACCAGCCAATAAATTCCTCTGAACATCATAACATGCTTTTAATTTAACAAGGGAAACTACAGATGCAGCATGTATGGATGTGGGCATCCTCATGACTCAACTTCACAAGATTGTTTAAAAACAAAAATCAAAACCTTCCCAAGACGCACAAAATAAATCAACAGTGCAAATGAGATTCTAATTCTGTATTAACAGCTGCATCATCTGAAATTGGATGTGGGGGAGGTTTGCCTGAGATTTTTGCAGGCACTATTTATTTGAAATCAGACTGTTTCTTGCTGCAAAGTGGAATAATTGGGAGGCCATCAGGAGACTTTTCATTGAGAGTTTATCAAGGTATGAGATTGTGACAGAGAAATTAGCATTGCCACAGGCCATGTGGAAGAGGAGCCAGGCAAGTTGCAGAGGTTAAATTACAAGGTAAGCAAATTGTGTGTTGTCTTCCAGTTTCTGATTTTATTTAACACACATATACTCAGGATTGAGAACCTCATGTGAAAGCAGAAGAAAATCTTAGCCACCCACTGGGGCCTCTCCTTAAAAAAAACCCCAAACAATGCCGTGCATTTTTTTTCCGTACAGAAGCAAAGGCTCTAAAATATCTCCACAACATTAAAAGATAGATAGTAATAGTAATAACTTGCTAAGTCCAACATACTTCATAGGGATTGTTGTAGTTAAAGTAGGAGGCAAGAGAATGATGTATGGTTGTTGCTTTTGAGTTTTATTCAGATAAAGATGGTAGAATAAAAATACAATAATAATACTGTATATCACCGGAATTTGCAAAGAGAGTCACACATCACACCTCAACAATTGAGTCTTCAATCTTTCCCAGCTTGGTGGCTTGCAAATTTGAGGTTCAGTGTGGAGTTCCACACTGGATTCACTAGGTTTGAAAGGCAGATAATCTTTCTTTAGTCAAAGGAAGAGGTGCATAGATCCAGTGTTGCGTAGATCCAAAGTGCACAGAATGTTGGGCAGTAAATAGAAAATAAGGCCAAGGCTGAGATTCTGTTGCTGGTTGGAAGCTAGATTTGGAATTGGGATTCAGATATTTGGATGAAGTTGTATATCCATTGAAAGCAGGTGTGTAGGCTTGGGATATTCCTTAGACTTGTTACTAGATTCACAGATGATGGGTGTGGGAAACAGTGCATTAGTGTAATGTATAATGCATTTGTCTAATTACAACTAACGTACCAGATGACTTGGTTAGATTGGGCACTAATTATTATCCTCAGCTTGGATACAGTGCATCCTTAACTATTGCGACATGTGCTTTGGGAAACTTCTCTTGAAAAGCAGATTAAATTTAGAATTACTGAAAAATGTAATTTAATTATTTTATTCCTGTTTTAATTGCCTCCTATTTGAATACTTGGGACACGGTGGCTCAGGGAGGAACGTGGTGGCTTAGTGGCTAAGACACTGACCTTGTCAATCTGAAAGGTCAGCAGTTTGGTGGTTCAAATCCCTAGTGCCGCGTAACGGAGTGAACTCCTGCTACTTGTCCCAGCTTCTGCCAACCTAATAATTTGAAAGCACGTAAAAATGCAAGTAGAAAAATAGGGACCACTTTGGTGGGAAGGCAACAGTGTTCTGTGTGCCTTTGGCATTTAGTCATGCTGGCCACATGACTACGAAGACGTCTTCTTTGGACGGTTCTGACTTTTCAGCTTTGAAACGGAGATGAGCACTGCCCCCTAGAACTGGAAACGACTAGCACGTATGTGCGAGGGGAACCTTTGCCTTATTTGAATTCAATATATATATGGTTTTTATGTTTTTAATTGTAAACTGCCCAGGGCTGCTCTGTGAGTGATTGATGGGTGCCTCTAAATTTGATAAATAAAATATCACAGAGAGACCTCCGTTGTTGCCAATTGTTTGCCAAGCATAATTCAAGGTGCTTATATTAATCAGGATCAAACCTACATGGCACTTGGAGGAAAGATGCCCTGTGACTACTGGAGATCTAAATCTCACACATTAATCCCCTTCTGACCTTAATGTTTTGTAAACAGCTTGAAAGATGGCCTTGCAAGCAACATGGTTACAATTTTTCTTGGAGGCATGACAGAGACAAACGATTAGTTTGTGAAATAGAGACAAGAGAAAAAGCAGGGAATCCCCAGATTATTATTTACCATAGGATGAGCCCCCTGCTTTTATCCTTAAAACAATTGTTGCCATCTTTTGTTGCTTATTTTGCAGCAATGACTTTGAAGTTTGGGTTACTTATTGTTCAGATTTATTTTCCAAAATGATGATTAGGAAATACTGAAATAAGTCACATTGGAAGAACGAATATGAAAACATATTAAGAAATTTGATTCCTGTGGGTTAAAGGATGTTTGTCAGAACTGCCTGGGTTAAAATCCTCCTTTCCAAATCCTAATTTTTGTTTTGTTTTGTTTTTTATGAGAATTCATCCATTCTGGTCCTGTAGAGAGCATCAGTATTTAAATGTTTACTGTGCCAAAGTCAAGTTTAAAGAGAGTTATAGCAGAATTTCACACAGGATCAATACATTATTTGCTTGCTTTCTACAAACTAATTACCCTCAGTTTAATTTTTACTCAGATTAGACAGACCAAAACAGCTGATCTGGTGAACATTATTTAAAGGAAAAATTATCTATTTACCTGTAATTGATACTTAGTACTGAATGCCTCTTCTAATCTACTCACAAGATATCATTTTAAAAAGCATTGTGAAAGCATTGCACAGCTTCAACACTTCATTGGCTTTAGAGTGAACAATACAATTTTTCACATTTAATAACAGAAACTCTGTAATTAAGGGTTCTAACTTACATGCCAATTTGAATGAAAGATAGAGTTAGAAATAGAACTCATTCTTACTTCCGGTTTGGGTTTCTTCAGCAACAGACCGAAATCCGCAATCGTGCGCAGTTTCGATCTGTGCTTGCTGCTGGAGCGCCCCGATCCTTTGGATTCGGGGCTGAAGCCACCCCGTAGAGGTGGTGAAGAGGGGGGAGATTGCTAGCCGAGTGGAGGGAAACCACATCTCTCCTCCTTGGCTGGTCTAAACTCCCTTTTCCGAAGGCAGTTGCAGCGGTGGTCAGAAATGGCCACCTCAAAGAAGAACCCGACTGGATAAGATTGTGCAGGAGGAAGTCAAAGAGGAAAGCAGCACAGACCGGGCTAAACAACGGAGAACATCTAAGCAAGGTACCCTGAATCTAAAAGTACTTAGAGGGATACTTCTGAAAGAAGACTTTTAAGCAGCGAAAGAGAGAAAAGGAGGTTAAAAACCCTTTTTTTTAAACCTTTATATTGACAATTACAAATCGCATGGAAAGAAATTTATATTAATCTATTTTGACACTAATAGGAAACCTTTTAGCTGAAATCTAAGTGTCAAAAGGAGAATAAAGATTTTTTTCTTGGTCATTTTAAAGCCCTAAAAAGGAGAAGAGTGGAGGCAAAAGGGTGGGACTTGGAATAATGGAAAAATGGAGTGCCACTTGGAAAAATAAAGAGGATTAACAGCGAAACTTTGAAAAGACTCCCGAGGATACATTGTAACTGAAACCTTATTAAAAGATACAGTAACCCAGGAAAGGAAAGAAACAAGAAGGAACAGTGTGGGATCATCTGGTAATATTAAAAAAAAAAGGAGTTTTTTGGCATTGGTCTTTTCTTCTTCTGTTTTTACTTAAAGTCAATCGGGTGGTTGTTCAAAAGTGTTTAAAATGGCATCACTCCTGGAGGAATTGAAGATGAGTCTTAAAAAACAGAAAGAAGATGCAGAAAGGGGAGGAAGATCCTTTGGCTTCGTGTTTGAATTTTTTGAAATTGAGATCCTGAACTATGAAAAGCAAAAGGAAAAGCTTCAAGAGCAAGAAGAAGGGCGGGACAAAGAAGAAGCCATTTTCAATGATCGAATAATGCAAAGTGTGGTAATAAGGGGAAAACGGGGGAAAGGAGTTAAAAGTTTGAGATCAAAGGGAACAGCCAAAAAGAAAAATAGTCTGAAAAAGAAGTATAACAGCAAGGAGAAGCAGAAAAGAAAACTACAGAAGGGAAAATTAGAGAAGGGTATAAAAAAATGGATGAGAAAAAGGGGGAAAAGATAGGGAAAGAACTCATGAGGGACAAAAGCAGGAAAAAAAGAAAAAGGGGAAACGTACTAGGATTAAAGGTATTTGCTCAGGTAGAAAACACAGTGACAATGGTTAAATTAAGTTAAAAGTGAGGATTCTGCAAAGGTACAAAAGATAGTGTTGTGACAGTAGAATACTGTAATGAGTTAGAAATGAAATAAGTAAATAATCTATGACAGTGATCCCCAACCTTTTTTATGCCGCGGCCCGGTACCGGCATCAGCTGGGCGCTGCGGCCCGGTACCGGCATCAACTGGGCGCCGCCATCTTTTTTTGATGAAAAAGTGCTTCCGGTGACCTCACTGGAAGCATTTTTTCATCAAAAAAGATGGCGGCGCCAGCGCTTCCGGTGAGCTTTTCCGGGTAGAAATGGCTTTCTACCCGGAAAAGCTCACCGGAAGCACTTTTTTATCAAAAAAAGATGGCAGCGCCCAGCAATCAGCGGCCCGGTAAGACTTGTTCCGCGGACCGGTCTTGGTCCGCGGACCGGTGGTTGGGGACCCCTGATCTATGAGATAAAACTCTATTGTTATGTAATGTTATGTTTATAATTAATGCAATAATAAAGAAAAGAGGGAAACATTTAATTGTTTCTAAAGATTGATAAAATATTGAAAAGAAATGTGAAAGATTTATAAGGAAATTTATACCAGTTACTAGAATGAATCTGAATAATTATTTTGCTTATTAATAGTAAATAACTTATAAGATAAAACTGTATGATTATCCAATGGTATGCTTATTAACAGTTAAGTAATAATGAAGAAGGGAGGGAAACATTTCAACTGTTCTCAAAGATTGATAAATATTGAAAAGAAACGTGAAAGATTTACAAGGCTCATACCAGTACTAGAATGAATTTGAATAATTATTTTGTTCATTAATGTTTTTATTTTATATATATATATATATATATATATATATATATATATATGTATGTATGTATGTATGTATGTATGTATGTATGTATGTATGTATATGTATATATTTGTTTTCTGATATATTGTTTTTGCTATTTTTTTAGAATTTTTCTTTTTACATTTTTAAGGGGAAGTACCAAGTAGAGCCTGAATGATGAGATTTACATGATATAAAATAGATATTAGAAATTTGAATGTTATAATTTTAGAATGCATAAATTTAATGTTTAATGAAATTTCATATGATAATAACAATAAGACATAAAGGTGTTGCACTTCGATTGGCAATCATAGAGGGAATTTTGCTTTTTAAGAATGTTGGAAGAGAACATAATGAAATTGTAAACAAGACAGACGAAAGTATAAGTATAATGAATAAAAAGTTATAGAAATTTAGGTAAAAGAAATACAATTAAATAAGAAGAAAATGAGATAATCATAAAAGAAAATTAAGAGGAGTAAGGGAGAAATTGTGAGAAGTTGGAAAAAGAGTAATAAGATATGAAATTGAATATATAAGATGAATATGCATATGAAATTGTGTCTGTATGGAAATGTGATAATCCGGAACCATGCTGTACTCAAATAAGATGTTTTATTTGTTTTGTTAAAACTCAATAAAACTTTATTAAAAGAAAGAAAGAAATAGAACTCATTCTTAACCAGGACCGGTTTATTTATTTATTTGCATAGATTATCTTTTGAAAATTCTAATAATACAGCTAAATACATTAAGATGGAATTGGAAAAATGTGCAGAAGCATTAGAGTTGGGTAGCTCACAGACAGTAACCAAAACAATAAAAGCAATTTTAAAAAACCATAAAAGCTGACCAAGAACCTCCTGATTCATCCAAATACAACACATCCCACAACTCCAGAGCTTCACTGGGATCCAGTCTCATATTATCACAAACTTTTAATGCAAAATCAACAAGGACATTAAAATTAATTTCAAATCTTGATATTGCCAGATCAAGAGGATGCCACATCCAAGGGTAAGTTATTTGAAGTGTAAGAGACCAATGGAAATAGGAATACTTTAAATCAGGTGTGGGGAATGATGGCCCTTTTATTCCTGTTGGCTCAGGAATTCTGGGAGCTCAAATCCACAAGTCATAAATAGCCATCGTTCCCCATCTCTGCCCTAAATAAACCAAAAAGTGGTTCAGCATCATGAACCACATAGTATTTTCTTTGGACAGAACTTCTTCCTTAAATACTACAGGATTTTTGAGACCTGGATTGCTGTAACAGATGTCTGAAATTTTAAAAAGCAGTGAGAGAGTTTGTCGCCTCTCCTTGGCATCATCTAATGACATTTCCAGACACAGAAGAAGTTGTCTGCACCTAAGCAGAAATGGCAGAGGGAGCTGCCCCTAGATACAGGGATGTTGGGACCAAAAAAGCAAAACAAAACACTAGAACAAAAATACAAAGGAAATTGGATAGGAAGTTGACCAAGAGTTGACCATCAATCAGCTGGCTTGATGGAGCTTCTGCATAAGAAGGCAGTCTACATCCAAAGAGTTATGCCATCTGGGTAAAAAGATGAGAAGTAGGCAATTATAGTGAGGTGTATTTGATAGTTGCCTACAGAGATTTGTCTGGCCTTGGTGTCTGTAGAAAAGGTGAAGCAGGTGACCTTTGGTGGGATCCCAAAGGAGGCCTGTCATTTCCTTCTAATAGCTTTGTGACATCAACTATCAAGCTAAACTGTCAGTTACTGTTTCCAGTTGCCAGAGTGAAAATGTCTTCCAGGATGTAGATTGGACATTGGAAAGGCTGCTGAATTTTGGGGAGCCCCCCCCCCCTTTTTATAGCCTATCAGATGGATATTTCAAAGGTGAAAACTTAGAAAATATAGATTAAAATTTTCATAAGGTTTTGGAAAACATAACTAGGCTTAAAACTGACATTAGTAAATTATTAAAATAAGATGTTATTGTATTTTTTGGACTATAAGATGCACTCCATCCCCACGTGGGTGGAAATGTCTGTGCGTCTTACAGAGCAAATATTGTGGTGGAGGGTAGGGAGGGTCGGTGTGGCACCGATCAGTTGTTCTAGGCGGTGAGGATCACCGCCCCTATCACAGCTGCTGCTGCTCGTTCGCAATTGGCAAACAGGCCGTGGCAGTGGTGAACGGGCCACAGCAATCCCCACAGCCTAGAATACTGATCGGCAGTATTCTGGGAGACAAATCCAATTGCCAATCGGTAGCAAAGGCTCCAGCATTTTCCAGTGGCGGCAGCAGCTTAGTTCAGTTGAGCGGTGGTGGGCGCAACAGAGCGGAGCCCTATGAGCCATACGCTGGGGCTGCGATAACATGCTGAAGCTGATCAGCCTGTTTGCTGTTTGCTGCAAGGATGCTAGCCAGATGAATAACCGGATCGATGCTGGGAGCCAGAGGCAGATTTTGTTTTCTTGTTTACTCCTCTAAAGCTAAGGTGCGTCTTATAGTGTGAAAAATATGGTAATTTCTTAATCTTGAAAGCTCCATGTTGTAAAGGAAAAAGGAAGTCTCTTCATTCAAGCAGAACAATGGTGTGAGCTGGCCCAACACATAATGTAGGGATACCTACAGATCGTGGGCTTCTGAAAGTCAGATTAATAGCTGGAGCTGGATGACACCAGTGATTCTTGTTCAAGCCTAATGGAGCTTCCACATTAAGAGGCAGTCTACATCCAAAGAGCTAGTCCTCCTGGGCAACAAGATGGAAAACAGACTTTCTGATTTTTAGGAAGTTATTCTCCCAAAGGCATTGGCCCAGCACTGCTGGCTTACGGAAATAGGGGAGGGGTGATCATCGTTAGTATTTCGAAATGCTTAAAAGCCAGGAGACCTTGAGTCTCCTTGGAAACTCCTGGGCCTTTGTGTCTTCATCCAGCTATCTCTGGCATTAACTCTCAGTTACAGGTAGTCGTCGACTTACAACCATTCGTTTACAGCAGCACTGCAAAAATCAAAGTTACAACAGCACTGAAAAAAGTGAGTTATGACTGTTTTTCACTCTTGCCACTGTTGCAGCATCCAACATGGTCATGTGATCAATTTTGGATGCTTGGCCACTGGCATATATTTATGATTGTTGCAGTGTCTCCGGGGGAGGGCATAGGATCCCCTTTTGTGGACCGTCTGACAAGCAAAGTCATAGGGAAACCAGAATCACTTTAACAGCTCTCATTATTAACTTAACAGCACAGCGATTTGCTTAACAACTGGGGCAAGAAAGGTTGTAAAATGGGGCAAAACGCACTTAACAACTGTCTTGCTTAGTGGCAGAAATTGTGGTTGTAAAGGGAGGCCTACTTGTACTCACTGTCCTCAGTGAGTGAAAAAAAATCCATTTCAAAATATGATGGATTTCTCAAGGGCCACTGGATTCTAGGGAACTCTTCCCATTTTGTAGCCAACTTCTGAGAGGATTGGGATATTCTAGGGGTGAAAACACCCAGTTATTCTCCTCTTACAAAAGGGAAATAGGGAGCAAATATGCTCCACTGCAGTTCCATCTTTCATTCCTTATTGGTGTTAAAAGACAGACTTGATTATTTTTCCAATTGTTCGGGATCACAAGCAGCCTTAACCTTTGAATTAAGGAAAGCTTTTAAATTTGATAAACTACCTTGGCTATGGAATGCATCTAACCATGCAAAACCAAAATGAAGCTTAACACTACAGGTAGTGCTTGGCTTATGACCACAACTGAGTCCAAAATTTCTGTTAAGTGAGTTTTGCCTCATTTTATGACCTTTTTGCCACAGTTAAGTGAATCACTGCAGTTGTTAAGTGAATCATGGAATAATCTGGCTTCTCCTATTGACTTTGCTTGCTGTTAGCCGTCTGGGAAGGTTATAAATGGTGATTGCATGATCCCAGGACAGTGCAGCTCTCATAAAGTATACACCAGTTGCCAAGCACCGGAATTTTGATCAGGTGACCATGTTGTGCTGCTGCAACAATCATAAGTGTGAAAATCAGTCATGAGTCACTTTTTTAGTGCCATTGTAATTTTGAATGGTCACTAAATGGCTGTAAATTAAGGCTACCAGTAATCCATTCAACCCAGAATTTTTCCACTTTGGGTAATCTCTACCACATGGATATTATTACATAAGATCTAAATCTACTTAATTGTAACAAAAGGATTCTAAACAATAGACTTAGTCCATTCTTTTTTCTCTGTTCTAGGGGATTTTAAAAAAAGTGTTTTGGGAGAGGGAAAAAAGCCTTCAACAAGCAGCAATCCAGGAGCTGCTGTTCCAAATTCTATGGCAGGAGCAATATGTACAGTAAACTGAAGGACATCCCCAAGACTCCTAGAAGAACAAAAGTAAAATTTGTGATCAATATGGAAATCCAAAAAGTGGAATGATATGGTGAGTAGACAACTTCTTGTGAGGGATGGAAGATTGAGAAGGAAAAGGAAGGAGCTCCTTCAGGAGTAGACTCCTTCATGTAGGACAGGGGTGTCAAACTCAAGGCCCGTGGGCCAGATCCAGCCATGGGATGCTTAGATCCGGCCTGCAGAGCTGATCTGGAAATATGAAAAGACCGCCCCACCGGTACCTCTGCTGGCCAAAATGCCTCCTCCACCCATGGCCCATTTTTGGCTGTCAGAGTGTTGCAGGAGGCTGTGGAGGCCGCCCAGGGCCTCCATACAGACTGTTTTCAGTGGGCAGAGTGCTGTAGGAGGTTTGGATTGGACTGGATTACAATAGTATTAACATAGGATGTTACTTATTTTCTATTCAGATCAGGCACTTACTTGAGACCACATGTCTCAAGTAAGTGTGTGATCTGAATAGAAAACAAGCAACATACTATGTTAATACTACAGGTTAATGCCAGATTTTACATACTGTAGGTCCATTAAATCTACAATCAAAAATCTATATTTGACAGCCATTTCTATTTACTATCTTGGTAATTTTACCTCTGCTATTAGATCTTGTATTATGTTGTTTATGCTATTGTATTTTTATTGTTAGTTGAATAATAAAAATACAATAGTATAAATAGCTTTTCTGCCTGGAAAAGCAATTTACTATTAAACAATGGGGTATAAATTTAGAAATAAAAAGTTTAGTAGAATATGAAGAATAAGTAATAAATGTTTTCCAGTAACATCTGGTAGAAGGGATAGGAAAATGGTTATAGTAAAGAATTGTGGAAAGAAAGAAGAAAAGAGGGGAAAGTGCATCTTGACCCTGTAGGAAACTCCCACCATGGCCATGCTTAACTCGCCCACCCCCTGGCCCTCTGAGGTCAAACACATCCCTGATGCGCTCCTCAATGAAATCGAGTTTGACACCCCTGATGTGGGATATCTAGGAGCCATTTCTACATGTTCCGCTATGTCCAGGGTTGTTCATAGTGACTGGGCAGAGGCCAAGGTGTTCCTGACCCACCAAGCTCCCCCTCCTGCCAAAGTTCCTGAGTCCACACTGACTTTACATGAGTGTTTTTGCTTTCATGGGGCTGTTCTTGGAACCCTCCACCCTGTTCAGTGGCACTTGTCTAAATTTTGGCAACTGGGGAGGGAGATTACAGAGAGTAGGGAGGTGCCTTAGCCCCCTGTGAGACTTCTCTCATGGCGGGAGCTCCGTGAATCACAAAAGCTTTTTAATGGATGGAATTGAGTCTCAAAGGGAAGGGCGTTGTAAAGACAGGCTTGATTTTGATGAGTTTTCTTCATCTGGAGAAGACTTAAAAAAAAACCACTGAGGATCACAGCTCTTGTCCTTTTCTAAATTTCCCCACAGCTCAGAGAAAAAGAAGCTCCTCTTATGAAAACAGTCCCATCAAGCACATAAGGCCCAACATGAGACAGCCTGTGTCAGAAGAGACCTGTCAGCCAAAATTTTGACAAAGAGGTCCATGAGAGGAATAGCAAGGCAGCTGAAGAAGTAGGTACCCCTTGGCTCTGGTGGTTGCTATGGCTGGCGTTGGATCCTGTGTTTGGATCCCAGTCTCTTTCGTCCCATCTTAGTGTGGTACAAAAGATTCCTCAGGATGGAGGGAGTCTCAGAAGGCTTGTAAGTTACCTCTGAAGGGAACACCATTAGGGACAAGACCATACCCCATAGATTCCATGACTTACAGTGTAACTCTTTCCTATTGCAGCAAGAGCACATCATTCAGGTCTCATTTGTGGAGTCCTTGATGTTCTCTGACCTTGGTGGTTTTCTTGCAGATATTTCATTACCCAACTAGGTAATGTCATCAGTGCTGGAAGGAAGTGGGGTTTGCTCTTTGTTTATAGACAGGTGGCTGGCTTTATCACTGATGGTGGAGTGCTCTTAGTGGTTCCTCCTTGATTAGGCTGTGATTTATTGTTAGCTTGTGTGTGTATACCTTGGTGGACACAGGGCAAGGCACTCATATAGAAAAATAAGAGCAAAACCACTCCCTTTCAACACTGATGATGTTAACTAGGTGGGTAATGAAACATCTGCAAGAAAACCACCAAACTCAGAGAGCATCAAGAACCCCATAATTGAGGCCCTGAACGATGTGTGCTTGCTGTAATGGGAAAGAGTCACACTGAGCTCAAATTCACACTCAACCCTGAGCTACCAATATTCTCTTCTATCAAGAACTCTTTTATTGCTGCTCTGGTTTCAGCTGAAGCCAAATAGGGAATTGGAAATCCTGGTGCCCCAGAACAAGAGGTTGTATTAGTCTTGCTGTCCTGATAAATAAGTGGGAGGGAGGTTGGTGGAAAGCGAAGGAGAATGAAGAGAAAGTAGCAGTAAAGAGAGAAAAGAAAAACTATCTCTGGATTTTCATGTTAGCAGGTCAACTAACCCTTAGCAGGTCAGAGAAACATAACGTATCTTTGTAAAACCGGCCCATATGAAGGGGCCTTAATTCGTGGATTATTTTCCTTTGGACAGATTGATAAGCTGTAGCAGAATGTTAAGTCAAAAGAAGCTGGGACAAAGAGGAAGGAGTGGGATAGAGCAGCGTGGTTGACTCTGAATTCTTTTCTTCTCTCCACTCGCTTCCTACCAGGCTCTGTTGGAGGACAACCAGTTCAACAGCATCACTAGTTGCATTGCTAGGTCAATCTTTGTTTCTTTGATAGTGAGTATGGAAAATCTGTTTGCAATACTCAAAAAAGTAAGGAGGAAGAGAATAAAAGTCAAAAGAATACATTACTTCTTTTATTAGAACAGTTATACCTCTTCCTAGGTCAGAAGGTGTTTAAGACAGTCACTCATGCCCTGATCAGCTTGCAATTTGACTACTACAGCAAACTCCACATAGGACTGCTCTTGAATACCATCTGGAAGCTTCAGTTGGACCATGGCCAATTCATCAGTTGACTTTGGATTCTCTGCTTCTCTCCCTTCTTGTTTCCTGTTAGGATCTTTTGGAAAAGACAATACTTTAAGCCGTTTCACTGCAGAACTAGCCGCATTGCTGACAATATATGACATCAGTTCAGCCTTTTGTTTCTTTCGTAGTTGGTAAGGAAAATTTGTCTACACTACTCAGTGAGTAAGAAGAGGGAGGCCTTTCAGAAAGTCATTTACACTCTGGTCACCTTTTAGCTTGACTATCACAACCACGTTACATAGGGCTGGCTTTGAATCCCACCAGGAAGCTTCAATTGGATCATGGCTATTTTGGACTTTTTCAGCTAAGATCACCAAATTGAAGATGTTTTCCTTGTGAAGTGGAGAGAAGAGGAAAGTAGCTTGACTCACCATGTCTTCTAGTGATTGACCCAGGTTCTCCTGTTCTCTTGGGAAAAATGAAACCAAGGTTGTTGACTAAAAGTTCACTGTTGTCTCTTCTTTTACCTCAAAGTTTGCTTCAGCAAGGTTCCAGCAACCGTGGGTTTACTCATAGAAAGTATGCTCCTTGACATATGTTTCTTCTGTGAATGGCCTCCGTGGAGATAAAAGATGTTTCAAAGCCATTACATTCACCAACATTTCCAGGATTTCCTTTGGTGGTGTTTGGCATGTCTGGACCAATATTCCAGAAAAGGTTTTCTTTTCACGTGGAGAAGTTGCCCTTGGCCTTATATCCAGAGGCTTTCTTTGTCCAGCTCTTACCTCAGAGCATTTTTATTTTGAAGGTAAGGGTATAAACATCTCAGAAGGAATTTGAAGGAATATTTGGCCATTGTGAACATTAATAGAATCAAGTGTTAAAGTTGTTGTTAAATGACCCACTGTGAACAATAATTGGGGGGTGGGGGGTGGGGATGTTCTTGAGGAGAAGCATCAAGTACCATAAGAATATTGGCATGTCATAAGAGCTGTTTTTCTTCATGCAAAGATATCGTCATTAAGATGTCTGTTCAGCTGTAATGTTCCAAAGCCAGATGTGGGTTAGGGATAGAGATCAACAGCAACCTATTTCTTTTTTTTCCCAAGTTTTTTTTTAAATTTCAATCTACACATACACAATACATTAACAGTGTGGCATCAATATATCATACATTTTAGTATAGGCAAACTTAATAATACCAATCATATCTCTTAATACATATATTCACATTAAATCAAAATCCTTCATTGCTTATTTTAACATTTTAATACTCTCCTAGTGCCAACCACCATATCAGTTAAACCTACCTAGTAATTTCATTATTCAACTTCCTCCTCAAATTTTTTTAAATAAAAAATTCTCATTTGGCAAGCAGTATGATTCCAGGTTTCACATCTCAATACAAACATGACCATAGTTACCTATTCATTTTGTTTGTTCAATTTCATATCACATTAACCTTATTAGTATTAAATATTAAACTTACCCAATTCTAATTCATGTTTAACTTATTTCATTTTTCTTAGGATATTCTCATATCTTATTTTACAATGTTATCTAAAATTCTCATTTCATTTCTATGTTCATTTCTCATACTATCTTTTTCTGTCACCTTTGCAATTTTATCAATCCTTATTTTATTAATTCAAAATTGTCCCCTCTGGTTAATAATTCGAGCTAGCCACCTTCAATCTACCCTAATACCATCTCCCTATTTACTATATAACACAGATATATATATTTATTTGTCAGATTCCGCATTACATTTTCTCGATCACCTTATAAATTATCTATACTTTACAAAAATACTAGTCTAAACAATTAATTATAGCAACTGATATTAATCTTTCCATAATGGTTCTTATTTCAATAGCAACTTATTTCTGTTGATCTTTGATAAATTCAGCTAGCTCTTATAGTTTAGCTAGCTTGGCCAAGGAAAAGCTAGCTAAACTATAAGAGATCAAAGGAAATAGGAGAACCTAAACTTGTGGGATGCTGTATTAAACATAAAAAAAGATCCATTCTCTAAGGCAGAGGTTCTCAACTCTGGGTTATAATTCCTAGGGAGAAATGAACAAATTTAAGAGGGTGTGCAAATTGGGTAGCCTTTTGCCCATTAAAAACTCAGTTGATGTGAGAATGAGCTTCATTTCTTTCTGAATGGTGAATCACATGAATTCATTTCTCATTTTAAAGACTTAACAGGATCCTATGGCTTTTTTTGTGTGGGGGCAGAGTATATCATTTAAAAGGTACTTTTTTCCTGATTGGATTTAGGATTAAGCATGATGGAGAATTCACCTTGATGTTGAAAAAACAGTTTGGCTGAAGAGGAAGAGATAGAAAATGGTTGCAGACCTTAATCATGGCAACATGAATTTCCCAGGCCAAGATAAGCCATAGGCTTGGCACTGCAGTTCTTATGTAACCCCAGCCCAATGTTCACACAAAGATTAGGAAGTAATTAGATATTTGAAACCTAGTCGAAAGTGAGTGCCAGCTGTTAAAATCATAGTGACAATTACAGTGTGTGTGGTACATGAATGGGGAAAATACATGCAAGAGACCAAACACTAAAATCAAAGGCACATAGGGAGTGCCTTCTCTGCTGTTGCTCCTGCCCTCTGGAACATCTCCACACCTGATGTGAGGTTGGCCCCAATCCTTCTATGTTTTTGTAAGGACCAAAACACATGATTGTGCCAGTAGACTTGGGGCCCCAGTGAGGGAACAGCACAATGGAGATGGCTGATTGAGTAATAACGGACCCCCCCACCTCCATCTCCGCCCTCCCTGTGTGTCTTTTATTTTAATGTTTGATTTTACCTTTTTATGTTTTAGCATAGATATGACTGTTAGCCACACAGTTATTACCCTATGGTACGATGATGGGCCAATAAATTTTATAAATATAGAAATTTTGTTCGTAAACCCTATTTTCCCCACAGTTTGTGCTAACAAAGTTCAAGAATCCTACTTTCCACTGATTTTAAATGGGGAAAATGTTTAGATTAATTAGATTGGCTCAATACACTTATAAATGCATTCTGATACATGCAAACCTACTCTTTGCAAAAGAATCTGGCTCTATCCATTTGTACATTCTTAGCCATACCTGATTTAGCCCTCACCGGCTAAAGGACACAAACCAAATACAAGTTCAGGCATTCTGGGCAAACCAGACCAAATTAAAACCTGATTTGTTGAAGTGTTTTGTGGAAACAGCAACAGAAGGCAGCTGTTTTGACTTATTTGTTTGCAAAATGTGGAGGATGTGTGCGCACAGATCTTGGCATTGTTTTAAGGGGCACAGCTTAGGAGCAAAAGTGGTGAGGAACATGCCTGCATCTTTCCTGGAACCATTCTGAAATTAAAATAAAAAAGAAGCAAAAGTAGGCCGGCACCAGTTATAAGCTTGGTACATTTTGGGTGCTGAGAAATAGTTTTCTGGGCCATGTGTTGTTTGATATTTTTTGTCATTTAAAAAAATCAATATTTGCATAGTGGATGCCCCGTGGTTGGATTGAAAACAAATTTAATAAATTGCAGCATTTGAATGCTTGAGTGCTTGAGAAACTGGTCGAACGAGTACGATTTCATAGCTAGGGCTATTTGTAGAGCGTAAAACTCGTGACTGTCAAAAGGTTTTCAAAAATGTTTATTTGTGTCCGCTTGTAGTAGTGAATTAGCTAATCTGTAAACACTGAACTTAATAAGTTTGGGAAAGAGGCTCTTCAAATGGGAAAGTACACTAGATAACTTCAAAATATGTCAAGTCAGCCCTGTTGTTGAGATAGGAACATTTTGTTTACTTTTCAGTGGAACTCTGGACAGCTGTCCAAATATCATACTTGACAATATTAATGGACAGGTGTAATATATGTGAAAAGATATGACTATCTTTTTCCTCAGCTGGGTCAAAACAGTGTAGCATTTTTGTAAGTTGGAAGTAGAAACTGTTTGTTATTGAATGGTTAGGCACATAGTTGGTGTCAACTTTTAACTATGTATAGATTTTATATTTATTTTTATTTTGTGTTTATTATTCTTATAAATAATTCAAGGTGATAAGCAAACCTAATACCCCTTCCTCCTCCTCCTATTTTCCCCACAACAACCCCGTGAGGTGTGTTGGGCTGAGAAAGAGTATCTGGTCCAAAGTCACCCAACCATTTTTTATACCTAAGGCAGGACTAGAATTCACTTGTCTCCTGGTGATTTGCCCAAAGTCATCCAGCCAGCTATTATACTTAAGGGAGGACTAAAATTTGTTCTCCTGTTTTGTTTTCTTTCTTTCTTTCTTTCTTTCTTTCTTTCTTTCTTTCTTTCTTTCTTTCTTTCTTTCTTTCTTTCTTTCTTTCTTTCTTTCTTTCTTTCTTTCTTTCTTTCTTTCTTTCTTTCTTTCTTTCTTTCTTTCTTTCTTTCT